CAGGGGACTTCTGTCTCAGAACCTTAGAAACTTGTCAACCCTCAGCACCAACGTTGGTGTCACATTTGACAGCGGTACGCAGCTCGGAAGTTGACCTCCAGACAAATCAAGCTTGCTCAAGAAAAGCGAGAAAGCGACTTTGACAGTGGCACATGTATGTTCTTTTTGAGAAGGACTAGCTCGTGTTGTAGGAGAGCCCACTCATCAGAGTCAAGGCAACACTATGATTTACTAGCTGGCCCTCGCCAAATTGTGAGCCGGCTCTCTCCCGTGAACTATGAGCTTGAACTCGTGGACGGTACTGGCCGCGATGTAGTGCATGTGGAGACACTGGAGCCGGTCGTCAAATTTGTGCAGCCTCTACCTGGGGACTGAACTTTGTAAACTTTATAAGTATTTTTCTCATTTATCACGTCGTATGTATATCATTATTTAATCATGTGCATATTGCTCAACGCAGTATTTGTTTAATGTTTGTTTAGTGTTTGTTGCGTGGCAGCATGATATCAGGTCGACACTTAAAAACCTTGGCACTTGACGAGCTGCAAAAGAGACACTGCTCTGAAGCGGCTCGTGCGAGCTCTCATGATCGAAATAAAAGAAGTAGTTTTGGCATGGTAGCTGATGACGTTGGCATGTCTTTCCTGAGCACGGTGCCCATTTATCTTGATGACCGATCCAGATCGTCACAACATTACCCAGGTAAAATTACATGATGGGTTTTCCTGCTAGGACTGTCTCCTTGCAGAGCTGGAAAATTGCCGCAGCAGCCGAAATTTTCAAGAGCATCCTTTTCACTCTGTGTCGTCCTTTGATGGTGTTTATGGTGAGCATATCTGCTGTCTCCACTGTCACACACAGCTAGTGGAATGCCTTGTGGCTGGGGCCTCTGCCATGGTCTGCGTGGGGGTGGGTTGGGGCACAGCGAGTTTTCTTATCTTCCCCTCTGGGTTATGATTATTCATTGTTTCCATACGTGTATATGTGTTATCTTGTACTTACAACTACAGTTTGTTTATGTTTACACCTACTCAGCGGCGAGCTAGCAGGCGCACATGCGTAAGAATTTTAACCTTTCTGTCTAGCCTCGCACGCCGCTGAGTGGGCAAACTTTCTCGTGCAAATAAAAATTAATATTTGATTATTATTAGTGAGGTCCACTGTTGAAAAAAGAGTGCCTCCAAGCGCGCTCACCACAAAATTTGTTACAGCCCGCATCAGATTTACCGCCAGTTTTTCAACCGCGTTCAGTGTTGTGTTGGCTCGATTATGCCTTAGCTTTGGAGCATCCAGAGTTCTTCCTCCACTGCGGTACACATTGCAAACGGAACAGGGCTAGCCTTCAAAAAGCGCAGTGCTGCATCTTTTTTCAGATCCAGGTTCACCGAGGGTTCTTTGTACCTGCTCATCCCTGGGTCAAGAACTTCCTCATGTGTCAGCAACACGTCATCTAGGGTCTTGCCCTGGTCAAGGTAGTAAGCTACTGTGTCTACCTCCAACTCCATTGGTCTCCCTTCGACTTTGGGTAAGACCAGATAATTCTTGACCAGTACATTATTCAGTGAAGAAAGGGAGAAAACACAGGCGAGCTGAAGAATGACAAACATAGTAAACCCGAGACTAAGAAAATAAAAAAAAAAGAAATGAACATTGAAGTCTCGGACACAGGTTGAAGTTTATTCAACAAACACCGCCTTATATACACGTCCATACCTCCTTCACAATCCACCCTTTGGCGAATACGTGCTGCCACCTAGACACGCGACTGGGATCGAGAATAAATGGCTAGAAAACAATGCGTGCACCAGGCCTCTCTAACCTGTTCGACACACAAAACGTGAGCCACATCCTGTTTGCCCAAAGAGCCGCTGTGACCTAGATACGGTTTCCCCAGACTTGCCCTTGTCCCCATCGTGGGTTATCTTCTGTCCCGAAGTCGACACGAAGAAACCATTTTCCCTCTCTGCTTCGGCCAGAAGGAAAAGAAAGAAGGTGCTAGAACCATTTGCTCTCAAACCGATGTTTCTACAAAAGGTTCATTGCTCGGCCAGAAGGAAAAGAAAGAAGGTACTAGAACCATTTACTCTCAAACCGATGTTTCTACAAAAGGTTCATTGCTCGGCCAGAAGGAAAAGAAAGAAGGTACTAGAACCATTTACTCTCAAACCGATGTTTCTACGAAAGATCCTACTACTAGGCGTAACATAACTTCCAACCATATCCAGCACACAAAACAAGAAACAAAAAGAACATGAAACCCAGACACAAAAGAACAGGCCAAAACAAAGGACCTCAAACCGCAAAGGCTGCGCAAGCACAAGATGGTATAGCCTCGACTGCCTTCACAGCGCTTGCAGTGAATGAGCACTCGTGCAACCACCATGGTGTGATCCAAAGCAATTAGCTCACACTTGTAGAATCTGGCTAACAGTCCATGCTAAGGGGAGATGAAGTATAGAAAACTGCAGCTCTAAACACACACATACACACACAAAAAAAGAACCTGCCACATTGGAAGAATATAGGAACAGAGATGGGGGCAACGAGTTTGAACCTGCCACCTGTTCCGACAAAATTTCGCACATAATCCGAGCCTATCTAATGATCTATATCACATTCCCACCCGATCTGATCGCCATTCCTAATCAGTTTTAATATCAGATGTTCAGTGACAATGCAAGCCAGTTTTAAATACTCTACTTTTATATTACTTTTTCGTACTTCTCAATGCAATATTTTCATGGCTGTTCCCCAGATCACGGGAGCCGCGCACAAGTAGCGAGCCTCAGTTTGGGCATCTAGGACGTAGTACGTAGCTGTTGTGCGTCTCGTACGCACTGCAAAATCTGTGTAAAACGATCCAAACTTCTTTCAGCAAGCGCTGTGACCCAAGGGGGTATCGGAGGTCGAGCGTGTTAGCGCACCGCAGCTCGTACGGCGAAAGGTCCCGCTGCCAGGGATCCCCACCCCCACCCGTTTCGATTTGTTGTGAGGCACAGACCCCAGGCTAGCAGTCGTACTGTAGTGGCTAAATTTTCTCATCTACAGCCTGAAACGGTGTCGCCAAAACCTAGACAGGCCGATCGCACGCTACTTAAAAAAGTGAGCGTCTTATTTTCTTCCGCTGTGCCCAAAATGACGACAGTGCATGCGATTGAAAGAGCAGCGGATAGGCGGGCTACCACTCTTGCCTTCGAATCGTTCGGGAGTCGGGCACCTGCATTTGCACCATGACTGAAGAAACAGAAAGAAGCGACGTCAAATCACATCGACACAGAATCACTCCAAGCTTCCTTGCTTGTGCCCTTCAGCTTTGTGCGCCGCCGTATCAACGCTAATCCAAATTAACAACGCCTGCCGTGCGCGTACCGCTGCTCATACAAACAACAACAAACAATCAGGGTATTTTGCTGCAGAAAGCTACTTCCGCCAGTTTTAGCGGAATGCGGAGCTCAATTGGCTCAATCCCTGCTCAACCGACGTTATTCAAGGTATTGAATTTGGCGTAAGGATAGTGTGTTTGGGGTATGCGAAAAAGACTACGGTATTGGCTATGGCGTACGCCGAAACGACTACGGTATTGATTTTGGCGTACGCCATAACCACTACCGTAGTCGAAGCGGAGGGGTAGTGAGATCGGCGTCCTACACCGGCGTCGAAAAAAGGGATGCACTGGCCCGCATAGAGATCATACATACTAACTCTAGAGGAAAAGGTCCGCCATTTTCCCATACATTCTGGCTGCCGCAAGCGGCGGATCATGCAGGCAGACCCTCGGGGTCCCAAATACGGTTACATCATCAGACATGGAGAATAGAAGGGTAGGAGAGGGCATGACGTCGACCGCGTAGCCTCCACAAGCCATGCTCCCTTGACGCCTCGCCTCTTTCTCATTTTCCTCCTTACTCTCCTCACTTACCATGCCAACGTGACCACATCACGTGACCGTAGCTAGACTTCCTAGACTTCGTCTTGCTGTGGGGTACTAGATTACACCACAGTCTAGGCTTCGACCTGATAAAACCTACCGGACGGAGCGCGCGCAAGCCTGGAAGGAGTCCTTCTACAATCAACCATCCATCTCACACGTGACATGTCACGCGCACCAATCGTCAGAGAGATCTGCGGTCACGCTGGGCACAAAATCGTTTAAACTTTTTATGACTAGGCACTAGGCTTCACCAATATTGCAACGTGCCCCCTCCTAGTACTTCTAACCTCCTTGTCATCAGAGCAGTTTCGTGAACTTCAACAATCCACGAACTTACCGGTGGAAAGATATTCGCGTTCCTTTCGAAGCATTCTTTTTGCGTAGCGCGCAGATGTACGGCCTGGCGTTAACGCTAAACTAAACCATATACACGTTTGCAAGTCCGGCTTCAGGGCGCTGCCATCTTGCTTGGCTGGGGTGCGCTCGGACGAGTCATAATCCAATTACGAAGCCTTGCTAAGGCGTCGTAATCGGATTATGGCCGCGCCAAGAGCGCACCCCACTGAAGAAGATGGCGGCGCCCTGAGACCGGACTTGCAAACGTGTATACCCGGCTTCGCCGGTGGGGCGCGGGTGGGCGCGGTTGAGGAATACGAAACTGCGCAACCACCAGATTTCTGAGATTTCGACAGAAGGGAAGTTAATGCAGCGTAATGACTTTATTGATTTTTATAAGCGTTAGAATAGCTCAGAATTTAGTTTACAACGTTAAATTATCACTGTTTATATTGCTGAGAGTTTTCACTCTTCGCGTTTACCATGGCAACGTTGCTTTCTTTCTCTCGTGCAGGGTGTAAGATAGACAGGTGGGGAAACGAGAGCCAAATGCCCCCTCGGCTTTCTCTTTTTCTGTGGCGCCATCTATGTGGAGCACCGCGAACTCTCACTCCGAATGGGCGACCGGTGGCGACCGGCTAAACTAACGGAGATGGTTTCTCGTCGATTTTCAATGAAGGAATGTCGTGCTCTCGGTTTATTTTGCGCGCTCTCCCATCGAATTCCATGTGTAGTATTTCAATTTTTTCATTTAAGTAGTTCTCGCCACACTAACCAGATGGCGCCACCGTTACACCATTGTCCGTGTTATCAGGGTTGCGTCCCCGTGGCGCTCAACCCCCACGTTGTTAACCGTTAAATAAATGAGTTACGACCCAGCCACCGTCGTCGTCGGACGTCTCTCTCTCTCCGTCCGGGGCTCCCGCGCCCGGCCCCGCCGGCGCCCGCCGTTCACCTCTTCGGCATGTAAGACCCCTCGTTTACGCAGGCCCACGCAGGCCCTGCTCTTCTTTATTTTCACGGGTGACCGATTTTATTCACTACATTTTTGGCGACGAGGATGGGATAATTTTTTTTTTCCGCATTTCGAACCCCCGCCGTACTCCGCGTCTAGACGGGACGTGAATTTTTTTTAACAAGGAACGGCGCCTTTTTCCGCCTTTTTCAAGATGGCGGCTGCGCAGGGTCGCGTTCCCGCCGAATTTCTCCCCACGCCCGGCGAACCGTCAATGCCGTGGCAAACTTGGAAGCGCGGCTTCCTCAACTACCTCGAGGCGATCGACGCCGAGGATTTTCCGCCGAAACGCAAGAGGGCGATTTTATTTTCATTTCTCGGCGATGAAGGCAATCGCGTCGTAGAAGCGTTCAACCTAGCGAGTCCAGCCGTCAACGCGGCACAAGATGAGTTTCAGAGGTTGTTGTCCGCTTTGGACACCCACTTCGCTTCCGCTCAAAACGTCGTAGTTGAGCGTAGAAAGTTCGCCATGAGGTTCCAGGGTCCAGAAGAGACCGTCCTCGAGTATCTTGGGGCGCTTAGACGCCTAGCATCGTTTTGCGACTACGGAGAGTCGTTGGAGAGCCGCGTCGCAGAAATGTTTATTTCGGGAATCCGTAACGCGGAAGTCCAAGATCGTTTAATCAGAGAGTCCGACGGAACTAAGGCACCTAGCCTCGAACGTGCTGTCCAGTTAGCGCAGCAGTTCGAGCGGGCTTCTCGTGATTGCGATCACTTCCGACGCTTGTCGTTAGACGCAAGTCCGAACACGCCGCACGTGGTCGATCGGATCCAAGATGGACGCGGTCGCGACCGGAATGGTCAACATGGCGGGCAGTCACCCCGCCACCGCGGGTCTTCTTCCCCGCGGCGTGAGCGTCTTCCTCCTTCCCCTTCCCCGTCAACACGCGAGCCATCTCGCTCCTGTCGTCCGAGGCGCGAGCCTCCCCCTCCTTCGTCGGGACGCGAGCTACGCGAGCGGCCCTTTCCTCCTTTCCCGCCGCGTCGAGAGCGCGACCGCCGGCAATCGCGAGCTCCCTCCCGACCGTTCTTCCGTGCGCGCCCACGTGATCCTCCCCCCGGGGCGCGTCGTGTCGTTCGCGACGACGGTTGTTTTTTCTGTGGCAGACGAAGCCACCCCCGAGATGAGTGCCCAGCATCGGGAGCCACATGTTTCTCGTGTGGCCGTGAGGGACATTTTGCAAATGTGTGTCGAAGCCGTCCGAGGCACGACCGGGATCATCGACAACTGGCCCTTCCTGCTGGCCGGCGGGTCTCTGCCCGCGGCTACTACGAGCATCGGCAAGCAAGGCCTGGTCCCACAAGGACTCCCATTCAAGGCATCACCTTCCCGGACTACGAGCTCCCAGCAACAATCTACACCGTCGCGCCGCCCGATGATTTTCCGGAGCGGTGCCGTTTCTGTGGTGGCCCCTGCCACCCGAGGAAGTTTTGTCCGGCCGCACACCGTCGCTGCTTCTCCTGCCAGAAGCAAGGTCATCTAGACCGTGTCTGCGAGAGTCGACCCCGGTGGCCACGACTCGACCGTGGGGGGCCTAGCAACCCTCCCACCGTGTTCGCGTCCGCCCACCGGAGGCATCCAGAGCTTCCTTCTGCAGCCCCGCCTGCAGTTCTTCTTGCTGCAGCCCTGCCTGCAGCCCGGCCGGCTCCCCCAGAGCCGCCTGTTCCTGTCCTTGGTCCGGCTAGCCCGGACACCACCAATCCAGATCCTGCGGGTCAACGTCCTGACCCTGGCCTGAGTCCTGAGGCCCCCCCTTCCCCTCCTGAGGGTCCTGTTCCAGCTGGGAGTCCCCTTCCCGAGGGTCCTGCTGAGGTGCAACCAGTGCCAGTGCAACCACCTGTGAGTGGGTGTTCGGTACCCATCACAACGCAGCCCAAGCCGTTCCCCAGACCGGAGCCACCAGAGCCCCAGGGTCCAGACGCCTCCGCGCAAGAGTGTCGTCGGCGGCTGCCAGACGTCCTGAAGGACTATTTTATTAACTCTTTTGGACTGGGTTCAAGATATTTGTGAACATTCAGTCAATTTTTTTTTTTCTTATCCAGCTTACTGCTCCAGCGCAGCCTTTTCCAGTGTGTGCTTTCCGCAAATCTTTTGCGACGTGCTTTTCCTTTTCATTAATTTCACATTTTCCAGTGTCTTGACATGGAAATGTCTTTAATTTCAGTACATTTCCATACTTCCCAACTGCCCTGCAGTTTGGCGTCAGTTTTCGGAAAAAAAAAGAGTCTATTCAATTTTCTTTCCTAAGAGAGGGAAGGATAGGTAGTTATTTTTTTTAAGGAAAGGAAAGTGTAGTATTTCAATTTTTTCATTTAAGTAGTTCTCGCCACACTAACCAGATGGCGCCACCGTTACACCATTGTCCGTGTTATCAGGGTTGCGTCCCCGTGGCGCTCAACCCCCACGTTGTTAACCGTTAAATAAATGAGTTACGACCCAGCCACCGTCGTCGTCGGACGTCTCTCTCTCTCCGTCCGGGGCTCCCGCGCCCGGCCCCGCCGGCGCCCGCCGTTCACCTCTTCGGCATGTAAGACCCCTCGTTTACGCAGGCCCACGCAGGCCCTGCTCTTCTTTATTTTCACGGGTGACCGATTTTATTCACTACACCATGCAAATCCGATTCCGACTTTGTGTATGTATGTATATGTATGTATATTTGAGGCACAATCTCTTTGTAACGAGAGTCTTGTAAGACATGCCAATAAAAGCAAAAAATAAAAACTAAATAAAAAAAGGACAACAACGAAAGAGAACTGGTTAGCACGTGTGTCCAAAGTTCGCCAACCGTCACTTTCGCACAGTCAAAGTTAATCAGTTCACATGACACCGTCGTTTTAAGTGAACGCTTGCCCCTCCAGCCAAAAGTAAAGCAGCGGCTATTGGCCATCTTGGTCACCTTGGTCGTCTTGGTCACGACCCCGATTTTTCACTCGAGTCTGCCACCATGCCTCGAGCCTCCGCTTGGAGCATGCTACATGGATCTGTTCGTTGGTGAAACCAAGTGCCTGCTCCAAGCGGGCACCCACGACAGGCGTTGGGTGTAGCGCCCTGCACGCAAGCAGCAAGTGGTCGATTGTCTCTTCGCCCGCTCCACACGCACTACATACCGTGTCAGTCACGCTGCTATCGTACTTGCTTCGGTATAGGCGGGTACGTAGGGCACCACCACGGGCCTCTATAAGTAGTCGACTGCCCAGTGTGTTCCCGCAGAAAGTCACCGGGGCAATCTCCGTCTTCAGAGACGCGTACATGTGCATGGAAGGGTGTTGTAGCATGCCGCTCATCCAACGGTCCCTCTCAACCCTCTTCACTTCCTCCCGCACTGTGCTCATCCACTCCTTTTCTGTTTGAGGTTCAGTGGCCAAGCTGAAGATCTTAAACTTTGTCCCAAGACAAGTGACTCGCTTCCTCCACGTCGAGTTGATATGCTTCAGGTGAATGTACATAAAAACTCGCCTGGCCCACCGGTCTCCGTTCATGTACCGGAGACGTGTGTAGTACTGAAGCTTGCTGTTTGCCTCCCGCGCTTCAAAGGAAGACCAGCCGACATCGCCCTCTATCAGTTCATTGGCTACTTGTCCATGACACCCTAGTGCCTGTCGTCCGACCTCCCTTTGGCGCCGCTCGAGATATGTGCGTAGCTCACTAGGAACACATATGACTGAGTTTCCAAAAGTCAGCCCGGGCACAGCCACAGCCTTCCAAAGTTCTCGGGTGACAATGTACCGGACACAGCTCCATAGGCTCCGTTTGTTTCTAGGGAGGCTCAAGTGAGGGTGGGTGCAACTGCTAGATCGGCGATCACGGGACATGGACGCCATTTAATTGCTAAATTTTGCAGGGAGTCTATGGGGCAAAGGGTCGTTTTATTTCCTAACTCAGGTCATAAAAGCCCATTAAGGTGCTTGAATAATTTACACAAGGTATAAATGATTACTTTGCCATAGCCACCAGTTTTGTTGCGGTAGGTTAAAGGGACACTGACACCCCCCAAAAAATTTTTTTTATTTTTTGCCAGGCGCTTCATTATGGTGTCGGAGGACTACCCAATTAATATTTTGCAACAGAGTAGCGTATTTTTTTAATAAAGCCAAAAGACCCAACCTCTCGAAACCGAAACCGAAACCCGACGGAGGTCGGAGAAGTGGAGAGAAGAGAGTGAGTGGCGGAAGTCACGTGGCTACACCCGACCGTGCGTTTTCTTTTTTCTTTTTTCTCCTGCCCGTAGCAGACGACGTGCGGCGTACGGGAACTGTTCGCCGTAGGATTCTTTTGCAGTTATGTATGTTCCGCTCGTTGTTCTGTACTCCAAGATGGGTTGTTTTGTACATTGAGGAGTTGGAGATGAGTAGTGAGTGCCCGTGGTGAATTGCGATCGGCTCCGAAAAGAATACACCCAAGATGTTGCGTGACAGGCTCACATGTCCTCCGTCCGAAACAGAAGTGGCATTGTGCGACAGAGTTTCCGAAAGATCAACGGGATCGGGACCAATGGCTGGCTGCGATTCCTGTAGACCATTTACGGGCACCTCGGAAAGCGGACGCAACATGATTTATATGCTCCTTGCATTTTGTGGAAAGTGATTACATTGAGTTCGCAGGTGTCGAAAAGGAAATCCCATACCATTTAATTCAGCGACGTGTCGTCCACAACATTTGTGTCTTTTTTTTTTGTTTCTTTAGTAATAATTGTAAAAAAAAATGTAAACATAAAAAAATATTAGCAAAAAAAAAAAAAAAGTTTTGCGGGGGATCGAACCCGGCCCTACCGCGAGTGAAGCGGACGTCTTTCCCACTGAGCTACTGGGGCATATCAGAATTGGGGGATCTCTTTCCTTAGTAATAATTCAACCGATAAACTGTAAGTTGGAAAGTTTGCTGCCGATTTTCCTCTAGCAAAAGCACTCCCGGGTCGAAGTCGGGATGCACCACGCATTGGCGACATTCTCACCTAGTAAAGAAATCGTACGCGTGCATATTCAACTCGAAATAGACACGTCGTGCTTGACGTTTGCGCGAGCGATGTCTTCAGCCACAGAAGGGAGCGACGGCTCGGCGACGTCTTCGTGCAAATCGGCTTGGTGGTCGGGCGTGTCGTACGGGATGAATACCAGTTCTTTTGATCAGTCCCAAATTTCTCTTTTAAAGGCAGACAAAATTCGCCGGTACCGCGAACGACAGTTCTGAAATTGAGGTCCCACGCCCGTCGTCCCCTGCCATCGCCGTCCCCGCGAGTCCCACGATACGCGAAACGACGCACGCACAGAATGCTTCCGGTTGTCTGTGGAACTTTTTTTTTTTTCAATCAACGTATTTGCAGCTTTTTAGAAGCCACAAAAAATGGGTTTCATATTTTTTTCTATTTTTAATATTGAGTGTGTGCCTTCAGTGACCCACGCCTTTGATTAAATTTGGTGGTCGCATCGATACCTTAGAAAACGGCCCGTGACCGCGGAAAAGAGAGTGAGCGAGACTCGAACCGGCCAGTTCTTGATCGGCGGTTTTCGGGCGGAAAGAAACCGAATTTCGAGCCGCAAATTCTGTTCTGGGTAGTTGAGCTCTCATATGTCACGTACAACTAAAATCCTCGGCGAGCATATATACCCTGTCAGTGTCCCTTTAAGTATTTTTTTAATGCGAAAAATGGTAAATTCCGCCATTTTGGACGTTGCTGCTTGTCCGGCAACCCTGCTTTCTCCTCTCGACGTTTGCAATTCCCCGAGCGAGGAGGAAGCGAGAGAGGCTGCGCCAAGGCGTTCGTTGCTCGCAATGGGAGGCGAGAGGAGGAAAGGCGCATGGAGCAACAGAGTTGCAACAGAGCGGGCGTCTGCTCTAGTGCAGGCAACATTGGGGCATATCCTTTCCCGAATCCTCTCCCTCAGGCGCCGCCATTAAATTGCAAACGCTCTCCAGGTTTTGAGTTGCACCCACCCTCACTTGAGCCTCCCTATTTGTTTCCTCTCGCCGCAGCGCCATCTGTCGCAAGGCGGGGGTACCCGCAAGCAGACGAGTACACAATCCGGTCACGGCGCTGTGGTAGGCTTCTATGGGCCGTTTCCCCACCTGTCTATCTTACACCCTGCTCTCGTGTTCTGTCGCTCTCTTTTGCGATCGTTCACTCGGAACCCCGGGTGTCGGCGCACGGGATTTGCCACTCCTCCTCACCCACCTTTATCCCCTGCTGGCCCGTCTGCAATCCGTCTGCGTCATTCCGAAAGATCCCGCGTCCGTCGAGAGAGCACGGGAATTTCTCGCGTCTGTACTTCTCTTTTTTTTGTTGTTGTTTGGTCTGCTTCGTCGGGCGTTTGCCGCCAGTTTTGCGCTTGGCGGTCGACTACGATGGACAACGGCGAAGGTTATGAGGAGGATGTGCTGCTCACAACAATTCTGGTGTATAAATCTTCAACTTAGAAACTCTAACCAAGCTTTATTAAAAAGCAAAAATCCCGACGTTTCGGAACCAACTATCCTCGGAACGGAGAAAAACTGGCGGAGGCGCCTCCTGTTGGAGTCGTGGCACATCCAATGCACACGTGGCAACATAAACTGGTCGACGGGGACCCTTCCCAGCAGCTACGTTTCGGGGTTAAGAGGGATAATCCGGAAAACACCCGGGGGTGTTCGGGTTCGTGGGCAGGCCGTTCCGCGGGACAAAAACAGTCACCCGTGATCAAGGGACCGAGTTGGTTCCGAAACGTCGAGATTTTTGCTTTTTAATAAAGCTTGGTTAGAGTTTCTAAGTTGAAGATTTATTAATCATTCCTAACCAGACGGATGTCCGTCGAAAATGTTTACATTTAAACAATTCTGGTGTGCAAAGTGAAATGCAAACTGAGGCAGCAGCGTAGAAGAAGACGTTGGTGGGTGAGGCCGTTCCTCCTCGACCGTGAGGAGCACGGCCAAGCTTGTCGTTTGGCGGCCGAATTGCGCGCTCACGATGAGGAGTACTTTCGGGAGTGAGTATATTCCACACGTTCAACTAAAATTGCTCACAGCCAGGTAATGTTGCTTGTGACGTTAATAAGACCTAATTTCTACAGCTACATCAGGATGCCTCCGAGCGCTTTGGACACCTTGCTCGAGTTGGTGCCCGACAAAATCAGAAAACAAACACTAACTGGAGGAAAACCATCACGCCCGAACAGCGGCTAATTGTGACACTCAGGTAAGACAAGAAAGAGTATTCTGCTTAAATAACGAAATTAAGTGTTTTAGACTAAAAGTAATTAAAAACGCACTTCAGTATCGAATTAATTAATTTCTACGAGATCACTTCAACTGCTGCGGGCGTTAGGTACGTGTACGATGTAATAATGCGCGAACTAATTAAAAACTAAATAAATATTTTGTGTTAAGATATGCGTTTTCCCGCATTCCAATCGGAGATTTCTAGCCTGTCCTCTCTACAATTAATATTCTTATTTATGATTTTCAAACCTTGAGACTGGGCTAGTGAAGTTCGCTTCCTTCACAGGGTTTAAACATCATGATTAATACGCACCAGCTCGCCTTCACTTTGGCCATTCGTTCTGATAACTTTAATCTTTATTACGTGAGACGCAGGTTCCTTGCTGCTGGACAATAGGGAGTTTTCACTGACATAATTTTGTCCCCCATTTTGTTGTTGTGAGCTGTTTGGCGTGTGCCGAAGGCGAGCATTCCAAGGATTAACATGACCCCTTAAATGCATAGAGCAGAAGCTTATAAGTCTTCCCACGCTGGCATCTCCTCAACAGGTTGCGATGTAATCCTCTATGTTAGTAAATTCGTTTGGAAAAACAAACTAACAACAATATAGCGGAGTGACGTCTTGTGAAAACAACTTATACATCCGCGGTGCCTCATTTCACAACTGCATGGGCAGCTCCACAGTGTGGCATCATCCAAGAAACTTGCCAAGCACTCTGGGATGTCTCACAGCCACTGTTCTTGACATGTCCACAGCACGCAGATGAGTGGTTGCAGGTCTTTAACATAATGGCCTTTATTGAACTTGCGCATGGGGCATTTAAAGGGTAGCGTGTTACTTTGGGAGCATCAGTACGAGTGATGTAATGACTGAATCGTAAAAACAATTAGTTCAATATGGCAGAGCTGATGTCATGGTCTTCGGTTGATGCATTTCAGTTAGGTCACAGACACTGCAAAACAGTAGCATGTATAGCATTGTGCGAGAGGAAAAATAGCAGAACAATATCATTTACATAAAAATTGCTGAGCTCCAAACCAGCCAAGCAGAGAGCAGGAGGTAGGTACTAAATATTTAATTCTCTAGATTGCTTTTGGAATTTGAGGAGACCTGGAATTTCCCACACTGCCTGGGGGCCATGGATGGTAAGCATGTTGTGATCGAGAGCCCAGGCCGCACAGGCAGCCTGAACTTCAACTACAAAACGACGTTCAGCAGTTGATGCTTGCCATCTGTAATGCCAAGTACAGGTTAGTGCAATTTAACAATTTTATAGGTGATATTTTATTGTTTAAACGCAAGGATTTCACTTGTTGAATTGTCACTCGGGGTGACTGCCAAATTTCCTAAGTATTTTTTCTGCACTCCGCACTCTCTGCTTATACATAAAGTGAATGTGCACTATAAAAGCAATCAGCAGATTTGGCAGAGAAAAGCTTTTCGCACCAAGATTTTGATTTGTATAAAAATTTGCATGCATATCTTAATGCAATCTGCATAAAGATACAAAGTATTCTGCAACACCAACTACCAGGCTTATGCCATATCACATGTGGTACACAATTTATTTTCTAAAAATTCATCAATTTAACTAGCTGCATCTGAAGCAATTTGGCAAGTCGAGACCATTTCATAAACATATGCACGTATGCATATATCCATATTTAACTTCTTTTGCAGGTTCCTTTATGTGGAAATAGGCCATCATGGAAGTGAGAGTGAGGCAGGCATTTTCATACGCTCAGATTTTCTACAAGCTATTGCAGAAGGCCAACGGCGTCTCCCAACAGCAAGCTGGCTGGGGAGTAGGAAAGTCCCCTACTTCTTTGTCGGGGATGAAGCATTTCCCCTGAAGACGTTCGTAATGCGACCGTTTCTAAGAAAGAGTAAGAAAACGAGAGCGAGTTCTATTTTTCCGCTCACTGAGCTACTTAAAGCATTCATAGATGGTTTGTCTTCTAATCTTTGTGAAGAATGCAGTTCACTTGCTACGAAGCGCCATTGGCAGACGGAAATAAAACAGGAAAACACCGTATGCCGTTTGCTAACCGACTGGAAAAAAGTTAGTAGTGTCTATGAACCCGGTGCCGCGGCTAAGCAAGATTGGATGCAGGCTAAAATTGTGATTGTCTGCTATTTCATGTTGGAAACTATGAATTGATAACCCACAGTTTGTTTGCAAGTATCAAGTTGTTCTGCTGCCATACACAAGCTGATATCGACCGGTGGATGAAGTACTATGGACAAGCATGTCATGAGACCTTTCGCCATTTGCAATTTGGCGAGACATACTCACCAAAATATTGCACAATTGCAAACTCGCAAACAGGTCAAAAATGTCTCATTGATTTGAACATAATGTCTCAACTTGCACATAATGTATGTGCAAGTTGTGGTACCACATCCAATCAGCAGCAAAGAACATCCTCCCTGTCACCTTGACCAAAATTAGACCTCGGAACTGCGAACTTAAATGGAACCGGTGATGAAAAGAGGCATTCAAAAAGGAAATGTTTAATCATGTTATATTTTTGTCTGTCAATAGATCTCGCAGGAAGACCTCCCAGGGTCTTTAACCATTGGCTGAGCAGAGCCAGGAGGGTAGTGGAGAACTCCTTCGGCATACTGGCACAGAGGTCGCCATTCGCTGCAAAAGAAGAGACCACGGACAGAATTGTGGCCGCATGTGTGGTCCTCCATAACTTCCTGATGAAGCACTCTGAAGTGTCTGAACGCAGCTATGTGCCCCCTGGATCTGTGGATGGAGAAGACTGGGAAGGCGAGCTTGTCAAAGGACAGTGGAGGTCACAAGAAGACGAAGGGTCTGGTCTCACTGATGTTCCACCTCGGGGCACGAGATGTACCGAGTATGTATTAGTATGTTGGTATGCACGCTTGCCTCTTATTGTTTTTTTTGTGAAATTCCAGCCAGGCTTACAGTATTCGGGAGTACTTGTCTATGTACTTTGAGATGGATGGCAAAGTGCCATGGCAGGACAAGTACCTTGATAGACACTGAGCTGACACAGGTATTTCCCCTCACATCTCTTGATTATCAGGAAAATTACAAGTTCCATACATAGTGATGTCTCGTTAATACGAACCCCGTTAATATGGATACGCCGCTATATGTATGGACAACATTTTCAAGGACGTACTGGGTCAAAACATGAATTTGTCTTGTTCTTATGAACACAGGTGTCAATATTAACAAGACATCACTGTACTGCATGTAAACTTTGCTCATGAAAAATTTTTTAATGATGAAAAATTAAATTTTTTATATTACAGCCAAAATAAGTAACAATTTAGGATGATGTGAAACCGTATTGAAGATCCTTTTCCACAAAAAACATACTAAAATAATATTAGACAAATTAACTTTTGCAAGCAGTGACTTCAAAAATAATCTGTAAGAACGGGTCATGCGTCTGTATTGCCCCATGGTAATGATTTGATGTATACCAATCACAAAAAATTGTGCTCGCAAAATATTTTCTAAAACTGCAGTTCACACAACTTGTGAAATATCAAGCCTGCAAAAATACTCTTTTACAGTAACCACAGATATTTCCCAGGATTCATACCATGGGATATGTCCCCTATATGACACATGGAGATTGATTATTTGCAGTGGGAGGGTAACTTATTGTGTGTGTCTATGAAGACCTCTTTATGTCAAGTGTTACGATAGTGACTTCTCCTGTCCAAGTACTGTTTGCTGATAAAGCCTCGTTCTGCCTGATGATCTCTTCTGCACATATGGTCTTGCAGCAGATATAACTAAGTGCTTCAATAACTCATCTGTTTAAAATACAATTTATTTAAAACCTTATGTGTTAGGAATGCACAGAGTTGAAAGTTGCTGGATTGAACAGAAAAATATAATGAAGCCCAAATAAATGTAAATATTGCACTTAGGTCAACAATTAAAAAGGCAAAAAAAAAAAAAGACTGCAGGAGCGGCTCTGGTAATTCTGAAACTGAATAGAAAAAAAATATTGGCATTTGCCTTGCCAGACATTGAATCATATAATTTGTCTCTAGATTCATGTAAATAGGTATTAGCACTTGAATAAAGTAAGCAGGTGAAAGGTTATGCATTTACCAAAATATTTTCCCTTTTTGTTTTTTAAACACAGCCAGTGCATTTTTAGAGTACCATAGCACAAGGTGCTTACTGGTGAAGGGGAGTATGAACATTGTGTATGGTTAAATTGTTGGTATGGGATGGAAAGTAATGCATATAGTGTATTCCACTGAAATAATGTTAGAGTGAAATAGTTTTGAGTACCAAAATTGATGTTTTCTTTAAATTGTAAAAATTCTATTCTTTCCACTTTACTTCACCAATTGACTGCACAATGAGAAGCACATTTAACAGAGCTAACTAACACGTCAGAACAGACCAGGAACATGAGGAATATTACGAAACTTTGATATACTGTCGATGTTTGATAAAGATCAAACACCGACAGTAGTAATCGAATAGTAGTACCTTATTCGAAGCTGTAATTGAAAGTTCCAAACAGTGACAGAAGCCTGCTGTAGCAATCCGCACGAGTAGCGGGGCCTGAGCCAGTATAGTTTCAGTATTAATACATAAAAAGAAAAAAAATTAAAAAAGCGAAATTAAGCATTCTAAAAACTTGATCCATGGGCTGTGTTGCTAAATAGGCCGGCCTATATTCCAGTGCATGCAAAAGTAATTTATGTGTCTTTTCTTATAGAACCATGCAAATCTTATTTGTGATGCATGTGGTCTGTCGGGGTTCGCTCCTGCACCCTTCTTTTTTGAAATTCATACGCAATTTTGTCCATTTCATAGAGAGCTGCCACCTGCTCCTCCGCTCCAAGAATCCTCACTTTGGCAGCAAGTGCCATGCAGTGAAAGTGCACACTGTCCACATTCGCTTCCCCTCGCTGCCGCCTCTCGTGGAGTTCCCTAAGCCTCCTGATGCAGTACTGCATGGTATCTTCACAGGGGTCATGCTTTCCGCAAATGGAAAGGAGTGTAAATTTTCCGTGTTGTCTTGTATGTTTCTTTTAACTCTTGAGTTTGATTAAAGTGAATGACTGATTGATTTATGTTGATTTAAGAGCATAGCTTACTTAGAGTCTCTGGATGAAGACAACCTGGCTCTCTTTTGTTTTGGTTTCGTTGCCCCGACAGCTGACACTGCCACACTGTAAATAAACATATGCCAAGAGTAGCAACAATGTGTCTCGGGGAGGGAGGGGGACCTTATTTTTTTTAACGTGAAACATTCTTTGGCTACGTTTAAAGCCTGGCTGCGAGGGTCGGTGCTGATTGGTAAACCGGTGGGAGAGGAGTGAGGGGTGCGTTGCTGATAGGTTAAAGGGGAGGTCACGTGACCAGGGGTGCAGCGGGTTAGAAAGTTCTGGAAGATCAGGGTTATCATTTCAAGTGCATACATTCCACGCATTAAATTATCTGATGAACAACGCTGTGAACGTAGGTGTCTGGGTGAACAGACTAGACATGCTGCTAAACGAATTTTGCTTAATGTATGTGGTGCTAGAACGTTTCACATATGCAACACAATTGCCTAGCAATTCATTTTCAATTGGGTCAACTCTGAAATTGTGGGCATGGCTATGGAATCCCAAAGGGCAGCTGCCATCTTGGATCCCCGTTCAGTTGCCCCTATTAGTAATTCAAACAAAGTAAACATTACGGTGTGGAAGCCCATGGTTTCGATTTCCAAGCTCGATTTTCGATTTCCAAGCTCCAAGAGATTTTCTGCCAGAGCGGCAGAAAATCTCTAGCTGATAGAGGGCGCGAGAGTCGCACCAGCCACATCAGCAACATGGCGGCGGCCTAGGAGTGTTTTTGGAAAGGTGTATACTTCAAGCACTTTTCAGCTCGCAGCTGCAGAAGCAACAAGTGCAAGCTATCCCACAATCCATCCTTTAAAATTAGCTATATAGCTCCTACGGAGCAGAGTAGCGCAATCCTTTGATCCGCGTGTTTCGCCGACAAGATGGCCGACTGAGCAGCTCGGCGCGAGTCACGTGGTACTCAGGGTTCCGGGAGGCGGCCAGGGTTGTAAAAGTTACTTAAAAAATATACCTAAGATACAGTTACAGTTACTCATACGAAAATGTACCTAGGTGCGTATCTAGCTACTCGCTTAAAAATGTACCTAGGTACCGGTACAGTTACTTCAAAGGTACTTTTTATTTTCACGTCAAGTATTTTTCTCAAATTTGTCACATTATTATTGGAAGTAAATCCTTTGTATACTGGGATGTACACCAATACAAGTTTGATAAACGTTCTTTATTGATGTCACTGGGAGAAATAAGGCAAAACGCTCTCACCAGAGCATTCGAAGACTTTGTCTTTTTCACTTGAGTGCTCGATTTGACCTCAGAATCAGGACTTCTTCGAAATGTTCATCCGACATCTTCGATCGCAGTTTGGTAGCAATTGTTCCTCCTATGCTAAAAACGCGCTCCACCGCCGCACTGCTTGGAAGCCCCGTGTTGAATTTAAGAACACGCTTTTCAGCAGCGGCATGTGCTTGAGACAGTCCAGACTTCTTGTCGGAGCAAGTTTGGTGTACTGTACGAACTCCTGCTCCCATGAAGCAGATGAGGACGATGTTTCGAAGTTAATGAAGTGCTCACAGTCTTCTTCATCCTCACCACTTTGTTCGCCTGACGACGCTTTTTCTATAGTTCGTTCTTTAGATAATCCCAGACCCGCTTCCGTTCCACATCGTTGTCTATCCATGTAACCTTAAATTTTGAATGGCATACGGCAGATATTATCAAATGTTTTTCTTCCTCCATACCTGCAAACCTCTTATTGATCGCCGTGATTAAGCTCTCGACAACCGGGCGGCAGTACCTCAAGTTCTCCGTCAGCAACGCGGACATTTTTTTGTGAAGTGAAGCCATGTAGGCAGGAGATATGCCATTAACATGCTGTTTTTGCGCTGTAGAAGAGTTATAGCTTGTGCGAAAGGTGTAAACACCTGAACATACTCATTAATAAAGTCAATGTCTGATTTCGTGAATCACGGAATTTTAAAATTCTCACAAACTTCCTTCAACTTTCCCTCACTGTGAACAAGCATTCCGTGAAGCGATTTCAGGCAATCGTATGTAGAGTTCCACCGCGTGAGGACAGGCGTGGGCAAATATCCTTCACAGCTTGAAGAGATGGCGTCAGCAACCAAATTAGACCTCGCTTGCTTCTTCCATAATGCCGAGCACTTGCTGAAAGGATCGGAGTTGAGTCCTCACGTGCCTTACTCTCACGCTCCAATTGGCTCACCAAGGACACAGCTTCCACTGTTTACGACGTCCCGCTCAAACACGCTTGTTGACGTGGCTTGCCCTTCAGCGCCAGCACTGGCATCGAAGCCACCGGCTGGCCCAGAAGACGTCGGCCGCATGGAGAAACGAAGAGTCGAGTGCACGCGCACCTAACCTTCGCAATGCAACGACGAGCGAAAGTCTTCAAGCTTTCACGTTTTTTCTTTCGTTTTTAGGAAGGAAGAGAAAATTTTAACGCGAGCGCGTTTAGGAGCTCGTGTCACAGAAATTCCGTCGGATGTCGGTGGCGTCGGTGCCGTGACGGGAAATTCCTGAATGGTCGATAAGGTCGTGACGTCACAGCCACATGACTTCGCGCGGGAGTTTCAAACAACCCTCAACGCTCATGCGAAACGTGACGTCACGCGTGGAATGAAGGTGGTTAAATACATACGAATTAATGGTCGCCGCAAGTTTCAAATTATCTGACTTGATAAAAAAAGAATTTACGCAGGATCGCTCCCACGATCCTTCGGTTGCGAGCCAGACATGCTACCGACTAGGCAACGGAGGGCTTGGGAATGGCACTGCGAACCTGCCGTCATTAGAGTGCCTCGATGTCTGTCTGTGTCAGGGTAAAGGCATTATTGCATCGAGTGTTGTTAGCGCGTGCCGAGCAAACACATAAGTAAACCTTGTGGGGCAAAATGGCATCAAAGCACTGGCAAAAGCTCCTCGATCACGCCGGGAGTGTTGTATCATAAGAACTAGGTCGTTGTGTTTACTCAAGAGCATGAGAAGCGATTGAGAAGGCCGTGCGAACGGGGCCCGATAACCCTATCGCGTTCAACTCTTAAAGGTGAAGGTTAATCGTCCTCTCAGTTTTTTTTCTTTACAAACATTTTCAGTTTTGTAAAGTGCGAAATTTGAGTTCGATTTATTGCGTGGAAACACTACGTGAAGTTAAATTGCTTGACGACTGTAATTATAATTTATTTTCAGTTATATGTTACATTGTATTTTCTACGATTTTGACGAAGTGAATAGAAAAGTACCTGTAAAAAGTAACTTCACTTAGTTACAAGTTACTGCAAAATGTACCTAAGATACAGATACAGATACTGAGAAATGAAAGTACCTAGGTTTGTACCTCAGGTACAACAAAAGGACCTAGATACCGATTTACAGTTACTTGTACCTAGGTACTTTACAACCCTGGAGGCGGCCCGCCCTAAGGGAGAATACATGGAGATCGACTCAACACGGCTGATTAAGAAATAAATGACAAGTTCACACTTTTCGAAACCAGTCTGTCGTGAAGTTGGTAAAGCACTAAACACTTTATCAAAGTTTTAATAATATTGGATGTGTGTGAAAATTGTGAGAAGGCAATTTCCAAGGCAATGGCGTTTGAAGCAGACGATTGTTTTGCGCAGCGAAGATGGGCTTTTTGGGGGTAGGCCGGAGCGGGTCACGTGAACGGTGTGACGTCGCCGCGTCGTCTGCTGCATGATGCCGCTCGGGCAATTTTTAAAAAAAGTTACGTCCTTACGTGGCACGGAACTTAGCGTAAATTATTCTAGAATGTTCCATTATTATGTCAAAAACTATTGTCGTTCCGTACATCCCCACAATTTTGAAGAAACAGCGATTTTCCCACATTCCCCATGAATTTCTGACCGGAGTATGAACCTCCAGGAGTTTGCCGCTAGTCGCCGAGAGATGGCGTTCTAGATGGCGGTACTCCCTGTGGTACTCTGCTCCGAAGGAGCTATATAGTGCTATAGCTAATACCATGCAAGCACTCCTTCAGAGATGCACATCTCAAAAGATGCACATCTCAAAGCCGTGATCCGGTGCCTGTACAGGGGCGGATGCAGGAATTTCTTGAGGGGGGGGGGGGGGGGGGTCAGGTGTTAGTCAGCGTACCATATGTTTAGGAAACCCCTCTCCCTCGTTTCATGCCCTAAATTTTACACATGCAGAAATCAAGATGGGGGTCAGGACATCCGGATATCCCCTCTAAATCCGCCCCTGTGCCTGTATGCATGCAGCCTTTGCTGTCCTATAGGCCGAGGGAAAAATGGAACATAGAAAGTTTAACATAGTCAATTGAAAAAGGGCCTATGCATTTATCAGGCTGCCTTAGAGCAGAGCAACTTTTTCCCTCATGCGACAAGAATGTAGCAGATGGCAACTTGGTCCCCCTATGTTTACATGTGGCAACCAGTGTACTAAATTTTGTCAGCATTGTCATAATTATACAATTATCCCGCTATGAACACACAAACTTACACATTATTGACCTGCTATTATATTTTGAAATAACCCTGTGACCACTATTTCGACCTCTTGAATCACTAGCATGCAAAAGCATATGCAACAGCAAACGAGAACAGGGAATTTCCCCCAAGTAATCATCACTGCCACAACAAGGGGGTCACATGATATTCATATATATCACCTTCCTGCTTGACTCACCAAGGAACACCAGGCTGATACCATCCGGTGCTTCTTGGTGAGCCAAATATTCAGGAACCTCCAGATTGAACTCGGAAACTTGTGTCGCAGTGACTACAACTCTTCGGCAACCTCAAAATTGCACACTGTTTACAAAAATTCCGGCGCCGCCCGCATCAGGTGTGGGCACTGCACCTGCACATAAACCGCGTATACAGAAACAAGATTCACATGAAATAAAGTGTCTGCACATGTACTGCCGATAGCAGTGCCACCGCAGCGGCGTAATGTCGGAGCCATGCTGGTCTTTTACGAAACACGGGGAAATTCCTGCACCACCCAAAAGATGATTTATAATATTTTAACACAAGAGCAAAGAACTGTCATGTGTGCACAGGATACAGTA